ATATATATATATATATATATATATTTAAAAAAAAGTTATGTTAAATCAGTAAATATCTGTAATGATTAATGACTGCTCTATCATTCTTTGACTAACTGGAAAAAGGAAGAAAAAAAATTCACTGTAATTTGGACTATATGATGCCATATAGTTAACCATACAAAAGTAATTAATAGATCATAGGCAACGGGCACTTGTATTTCAATCTCGATTTATATATCTGTCAATGATCTGTCACAGCAAATGCCTACAGCCTATATCACAACTGATTCTGTCCGGAATGTATCAACTAGTTAATTTGTGCTAATGTTTCATAAATTTATACGTACTTTTATAAGATTAATTTTAACTCCTAATATATTTTTCTCTAAATAATCCTTTCTTAGTAAAAAAATTAAATATCAATTTGATATAATATTAAATACATATATATATATATATATTATACAGACTATTGAGAACATTAATAACAATTTTATTTTATAAATAGTAGTATAACATTTCTCTATAAAATTATTAGGTAAATGAATCATAAATTGAAAAGAAAAAAAGTAATAGTATCTAAAAGATGTTATTAATGCATTCCCACTATAACACAAATTTTTGATTAAAAAATTGTTCATTCTTTAACTAGTGTCATAAATTTCTGTAGAAGACTAGAAGTGATGTTAATCACGTGGCACTAGGCACCTGGGGCGACTGGATGCATTAATTATATTTATTAAATGCTTTTTATTAACTTGGGCTTATATTTAATACTCCCTCTAATGAAATAAGAAATCAGTTCACACTGATTAAAAAGATAGTTACATATATTTAATTTTAATGATTTTATATAAAATGTGTATTAAATATACTAAAACATTCTTAATTATAATAACTATAGATAGTATTCTCATTTTTAGCATCCTAATAAATGCGTATTAATTATCAACATGTTAATTAAAGGTGAGACGTAAAAGTATAATTGATAAAAAAAAATAATTAATGACATCTTAAAAGATTGAAATGATAATTAAATAGAAAGAAAATTTTACGATAAATTCGACAATTAAGAAGGAAGAAGAGTACATGGGCAACGATTAACAAAATGTTATATTTGTTTCTAGATGGAACTCTCTTCGCTTTCGGCACAAATTGAATTGAATACGCCGCTTAGGCCTAACCACCAATTATAGTATATGTATCCAAGTCAATCAATGAAAGAGATAGATGGACACATTTTATCTACTACTGTATTGAAAATTGAAATGCAAACCCAGAAACAGGAAAATCGGCTATTAAATATATAACATCGTGACTAAAAGTATCCCACTATGCATTAGAAGAGTGTAACTTCTTTGTTTTTCTGCTTTTCTTTGGAAACATTCCACTTGCATAACATTATTTGGTTTTGTTGCTGGAACCTGTAACGTGCATGGAAGACAATACTCACTGTAATGCAAATTATTTCTTGTCAAACAGTTTCATTATGTTGTGAAAATCTTAACCACTACAGAAAGAGGATAGTCGTTTTTACATTATTTCTTGGTAACCTATATCCTACTGTAATATAATAGAAAGATAATCCTCTAGCGTGAATAAGTATAACAATTCTTGTCTTAATTACATTAATTTAGGAGCTTGATATAATGTGTATCTACTTGATTATATTAATCTAGGAGTGTAATTTTTTTCTTTCACTAAGAACCAGCCTATATATGTTGTATTTTTTTGGCCAGTATCTCTCAATTCACTAAACTAAAGTGTATTGTAATTGCAACTGTTCTGAAGGATTTTTCCACACATCTTGTTAGTGTGTCAACCAATTAAAATTAGTCGTGCACACTTGTAGGACATGATTTTACTTATTAAATATTATTTTAATACAGCTAAAAATGGAACATGTGAGCATCAAGCCTTACAACCACAGGACTTACTAAGAGGCTTGATTCATACTAGTAATTTACATATGTAGTAAAGTAAAAAATAAAAACTGTAATTTGAATCCTTGCGGTTACGTAAATAGTGTCTAACGGATGTGTTTTTCATAAAAAAAAAGTTACAGAAGAGAAGTTCGTAGAAACTGTTCTCTATGTGTTTAGCATACTAAATTACTAATCCTGGTAAGATTTGTCTTTGACTCGATTTCGCGTTGAGGACATTGTATATGTGGCGAGAAATTAATCACACAAAAATCAAATGCGGAGTTGGGAGGTTGGGAGGACAATATATATCTGTCACAACCTTCTTAAATGGTTCTTATCTGTCACGGGGAGGACATTGTATATGTAGCTTCTTATTATTCCCTTTTGATATTTACGGTTCTATCAATAATAATTAGGTCAATAACAATTCACAAGCCATTTCATAACATTCCTGAACTGCAGATGAAACATTAAATAATGACTATGAATTATGATCAATTTGAGCAACAAAATTGAAGAATAACTTGTTGAAAACAAAAAAAAAAACTTTTTTCCCTAGGTATAAAAGTGAGAGAATACAAATAAGCAAACACTATAAAGAAATAGAAAAAAGATTACACAAAATTTTATTTAATAGGATTCATTCTTTTATACCTATGTCTATAAAGATATTCATTATTTTCAAATGTATTACGTGTGTGTTTTTTAAAATTATTTTTACAAATTTTATGAATAAAACTTAAAATTTCTCCTTACAAGTTTTATGGATGAAACTTGAAAACCTTTACTTACAAGTTATATGAGTGAGTCTTGAAAACTTATCCCTCATAAGTTTTATAGATGAAACTTGAAAACTCTTCTATTACAAGTATTTTGACAAAAATTGGAAGCTCTCATTCACAAATTTTTTAGCAAAATTTGGAAATTGTCTTTCATATATACTATAGAATAGGAATATATATATATATATATATATATA